GTACTCCGTCCTCTTCGCATCTTTGAGAATCTCTGATCTTCTTTAAGGCTCAGCTAAAGTTCAATTTCTTTTTTAGCTTTCCCATATCTACTCAGGCAGTGCTGTCACTCTCTTCTACTGCATGATTCTTATTAGTGTACATGAACCTATCTGTAAAATGAAGGAGCTTCACCTGTCATGTCCTTTCCAGTTCTAAATCTATGATCCTATATATCACTACAGCAAAGGGAAGTAACTATTATATTTAGTGTGTGCTTGACTCTCTAGTACAATATTCTGCATGTGGCAGACCCTTAATAAAGAACTGTTGAGTTGAGTTGATCCATCAGGACCAGAAATCATCCAGATATATGGAAAAACTAGATAGTCTCAAAAGGCTCTGAGTCAAGCCTCACCATCCCACCCTATGAATCCTGGGACAAAGTTTGGGTGGAAGTATTGCATGTAAACAGGCTTTTGATCTCCTTTAATTATTTTTTGTCAAATTAAAAAGAACCATAAGATCAAAACATTTTTAAATGGACTTAAAAATAATCTAATCCAACATCTTCATTTTATAGGAGGAAACTGAAGCCTAGAAATCTCAAATTCAACACCTCCAAAATGGAATTTATCCCCAAACTGTTCCCTCCTCCAGACTTCACTATTTCTGGTGAGTGACCATCATCTTTCTGGTCACCCAGGTTTTCAAAGGAAAAGCCATCCATACTCAACTCTTCCTTTTCCCTTATCCCCACAATCCAATCAGTTGCTAAATCTAATTGATTCTACCATCTCTCACAATCATCCCCTTCTCTCCACTAACATTCATCACCCTAAGTACAGGGAGACTATTGCAATAGTCTACCAATTTGTCTCTGACTCCAAAAGCAGTGTTCTTTCCACTGTACCAATTCTTTAAATTAATCACCCCTACACATTTCTTTCCAGTCTTGACTCTATATTTAATCAGTTCCATAACACACTGTCTTCTATCTTGATGCCAATCCAGCCTTCATAAAGCAGCTAAATTAAGATTTTTTCAGACATAAGTGTGACCATGTCACTCCCTACTCAAAAATTTTCTGTGACTCACTATTACCTCTGGGAAAAATAAAAACTCTTCAGCTCAGATTTTCATGTCGTTCACAAACTAGATCCCACCTATTTTTCCAGAATTGTTGTATATTCCTCTTCATACATTTTATATTCCAGTTAAATTGGCATAACAACTGTTCTCAAAACTGAACAAGCCACCCCAAAGTTTTTGCCTTTTCAGATTGTCCTCTATGCCTGAAAAACACTTCTTTCTGCCTCTTACAATCTTTAGAATCATTTCAGACTCAGCTCATGTGCTCCTTCCTACATGAAGTTCAGTCAAATTGGTATTCTTGCTGCACCTCACTGACAATACTCCATCTCTCACATCCTTTGCCTTTGCACAAGCTGTCTCCCAATTAGACTGTACTCCCTCATCTCCAACTCTCAGAATCCCTAGTTCAAAAACTCAGCCCAAGTGCTCTTCCCACACAAGCCCTTTTTTGATCCTGACAGGTTATTACCTACAACTCCCAGATTATCTTGTTATTTATTTTATATATGTGTGTGTGTATACATATCTACTTATAGGTATACATAATTTTTCTCCCCTTCATGGAATGTAAGCTTATGTGGCATCTAACATATAGAAGGCACTTAATAAATGCTTGATTCACAGTATCACAGAATCTGAGAGTTGGGGACTATGATAAAGATTGATATAATATAACCTCAGTAAAAAGCCCCTTAAAAATTTTTGTTCAATTGTGTCCTACTCTTTATGACCACATGGATCACACTATCTGTGAGGTTTTTCTTGGCAAAGTTACTGCAGTGGTTTGCCATTTCATTCTACCATGGATTAAGGCAAACAGAAGTTATGTGACTTGCCCAGTGTCATACAGCTAGAGTCTGAGGCCGGAATTTTAACCCAGGTCTTCCTGACTTCAGGCCCAGCCCTCTATCCACTGAGCTACCTAGCTTCCTCCCCACTTAAAAACAAAGGCTGTTTTATCTTTGTTTTTGTATCCCTAGTGCCTAGGAGAATGCCCTCATGGCACATAGGCACTTAAATGTTTGTTGAATTTAAGTAATTGTCACAATGGCACTAAGTACCAGAGTCAGGATTTAAACCCAAGTCCTCTGACTCTAAATCAAATGCTCTTTCCACACAGTTCCCCCAATGTCCTGCTACTTTCTAGACACTGCTGGGACTAGACACTTTACAGGAAACACTTCATTTGATATTGTTTTAAAATAATTATGTCTTCTTAAATTAAAACAACAGAACACTCACGTGACCTCTTTACAGTTAAGGTCACTTCAACCTCAAAGGTCTCTCAGGGATTGTTTGGTCTTTCAAGCTGACAGAGTTAAGTGAAGTGAGTAGTACAAATAAAGCCAAGGTTTTATGAATCCTTAAAGCAAAGGTGTCAAAATGCAGCCCCTCCTCAGTGCAGCCTGAACCAGATTAAAATATAATTGGAAATATTTAACAAAATGAATAAAAATACAATAAAACATAAGGAATTCTTAAGTATAGTTTATTGGTTTATTTAAGTATAGTTCATTGGTTTCTTTCTTTCTTTTTTTTTGGCTAGCCAATGGGGTTAAGTGACTTGCCCAGGATCACACAGCAAGGAAGTGTCTGAGGTCACATTTGAACTCAGGTTGATTCCAAGGCTAGTCTGCTATCCACTGCACCACCTAGCTGCCCCTGAGCCCCCATTTCTATTTGAGTTTGACACCACTGATTTAAAGATTCATAGACCTAGGTGAGGTCTAGGTGAATCTTAGGGGTAATCTAATCCAACATCCCCACCCCACATTTCATAGATCAGAAAACTAAAGCCCAAAAAGTTTAAGTGACTTGCCCAAGGTCACAGAGATAGCAAATGGCAGAGATGGAATATGAACTCTAGTCATCAATTCCAAGTTCATCATTGTTTGCACTATACCATGTTGCCTCTAGATTTCATTTGACACTTTACAATAATTTGTCTTATTTAAGTCTTCGATGTTTGTCTTCTTTCCCCAACTAGAATGCAGTGCCACTGAGAGAAAGAAATGTATCTAACACAAATGGTTGATTCAAGTAGGCTGCCTATATTTCCAGTTCCTACATACCTAAAAAGAAATAGCCTAAGAGATATCATCAAGGAGATATATGATCCAAAAAAGGTTAGTGGGTCAAGTACTGACAGGGAAGGATAACCAACAGTCAGCCCAAATGCTGTAATGGTACCCATAACATTTTAAAAGCCCCAAAGAATACTTCTTGCAGGCAGGATAGATCCTTTGTGGACGATCTACAGAACATAAACAAGAATCACAGAGGCCTAAAAAATACAAATGAGGAATACTGATAATGTCTGAGTATTAAAATAAACCCACAGGACAGAGTACTTCTGGTCGACAGAGAGAAGTTTACTTATAGGGGTATCTACTGTCCAAACTGAATGTTCTTCCTCTTATCTCCAATTCCTACAATTCCTGGCTTCCTTTAACTTCAAGCTGAAATCCCACTTTCTAAAAAAAGTCTTGTCTGATTCCTTTTAACATTAGTTCCTTTCTTCTGATGATTATTTCCAATTTATCCTGTATCCATCTTGTTTGTGTTTGTACACAACTGTGTTTTGTCTTATCCATTTTGATCGTGAGCTCCCAGAGCTGGAACTTGGGACTATCTTTTGCTTTTCCTAGTATACTCACTACTTAGCACAATGCCTTGCATATAAGAGGTACTTAATAAATGTTTATTGACCGATTAACAACCAACTCTTTCAAGAGAGCAACCAAAATGTCACAATAGTCAATATTGGCTACCATGGAACTGTCCGTCCCCGTCCCCTCCCCCCCCACTCCGGTTCTGTTCATTCAAGGAAAGAAGAGTGTAAAAAGTTACCAGAGATTTCTAAGGCTACACAAAACAAACATCCTGCATTCAATAGTTCCCAAACCCCAAGTATGGAGTATTAAAATGATGAATTCAGTCAAAGGTTTCAGACTTTTTTTTGGGGGGGGTGGCTTGAGAGGGTGGGAAGAGGATCAAAACTTGTGATTTCTCCCTAGCAATTCATCGGTAGTTTATAATTCTGAGAGAATTGCCCGGGGCACTAATTGATCAATCGCCTTGCCCATGGTCATACAGCTAGTACGGGTTAGAGGACATGACTTGAACCCCCGGTCCCCCTATTTCTGCATCTTTTAGGATCAGTTAACATTGCCAAAAAACAAATAAACAAAAAACACCTTCTTAAAAGATGTTTTCAAAAACTAGGGGTCTACAGGAGAGGCAGTGACATAACAATGCATATGTTTGTGTTCTTTGGTTTAAATAAAGTTTCCCATTTTCTAGTATCCAAGTTCAAGCAAAAAGGCCTGCATGGAAGAACTGCCACCACAACCAGAAAAAAAAAAAACAAAACACCACCTTCGCACCTCATTACCAGGGGCAGGTCCTGGGGAAGCCGTGAAACTTTGGCTCGATTCCCCCTCCCCCACTCCCAGCCAAAAAGCCAATTCACTCCAAAGTCATGAAGCATTTGTTCTAAGGAGAGTTACGGGGGAGAGGCTGCTAGGCTCTTAGCGTGGCCTTCCTCTTCCTCTTCCTCCTCCTCGCCTTCGTCCTCCCGGGGGGAGGAGGAGGGGGTACGGAACCATCCCCAGGTTGGAGGGCTCTGCTGAGGGCACTGAGCCCTGGGGCCTGAGCCGCCGGGGCGCCAGGTGAGGCAGAGGCCGACCCGGGTCGGGGCCGCAGGGAGCTTCCAGGAGCGGCGGGGTCTGCGGGACCGAGGCTGCGGTAGGAAGCTCCGGGGCCGGCGGGACAACCAGGCCCAAGAGCGGCGCCTACTAGGCCAGGAAAGCCCGCGGCGGGGCGGAGGGGGGGTTACGGGGTGGGGAAGGAGGGAGGCAGAGAGCGAGGCCTCGGCCGCCACTGGCAGCTTGGGGGTCTTGGGGCGGGGCGAGGAGGCGCTGCTTACCCTGCATGCTGCTGACGGCCGTGTGGCCTGGCCCGGGGGGCCCCACGGCGCCGGGAGAGCCGCTCCCGCTGCCGCCGCTCGGGCTTGGAGCCGCCATTGTTATCCGGGAGGAGTGGAGCGGCGCCGCGGCGGCTGCAATGCAGCAAGTTCGGCCTCTCTCCGCCAGCGAGGGGCGAGGCTAGTGCCCGCCTCCGGACCGTCCCCCTAGCCCGCCTTCGCCGCCTGCTCCCCAGCGCCGAAGCCGTCCCACCCACGCCCACCTCCGGGCGTTCCAGATACCAATCAGTTTCAGCCTCGCTCCGGGCTCGCTCCACCCTGCAGACTTGCCCAGACCTGGTCTCCCGGTACTTCTGCGCCCTTTAGATGAGTAAAGAGGTACTCACCCGCTCTCCCTTCGGACCCACGTCGTCGGTAATTTCATTCATTTTGTCAACAAACATTCTTTGTTATTAGTAAGTGTAAGTCTCATGCAATTCAATGCAGCAAACATATTAAGCAGCACTATGTGCCAGGCTGCGAGGTTAGAGGCTAAGAGTCCCTGCCTTCAAAGAATTTAAGCTGTAGTGGATAATAGTAACAGAGCTCAAAAATAAGCGACCCCTCCCCTGAAGAAGAAGAGTTTGGAATAGGTTTGGAATGTTATGTATGCTGTTATACTCCATTCATGGATCTAGAGCTAGAAGGGTCCCTATCTTAGTCAATAAACATTTCTTAAGCGCTTACTATGTGCCAGGCACTGTGCTAACTGCTGGGGATACTAATAAAAGTTAAAAAAAAAATGATGATGTTGATAATAACCCGTGTTCCCTAGGAGCTCACAATAATCCAACCCTTTCACTTCTGAGTGAACAAATAGGGGCCAGAGAAGTGACTTACTCCAAATCACATAGGTAGCAAGGGCTGGATGTAAAATTTAAACACAGGTCTTCTGACAAAGGGCTTCCTGTACACTTCCTGCTAAGCTGGTTTTTTTTTTTTCTTTCTTTAAAAAAAATTGTTAAAAATTCAGAGGGATAACCTACTGAATAAGTTGGGAAGAACAGGAATATATGCTGAAATTAAAGTGATGTTAAAGGGCATCTTTTTTTTAGTCAATTGGCGTTAAGTGACTTGCCCAGGGTCACACAGCTAGTAAGTGTCAAGTGTTTGGTCTGAGGCGGCATTTGAACTTAGGTCCTCCTGACTCCAGGGCCTGTGCTCCATCCACTTCCTCACCTAGCTGCCTCAGACATCTATTTTTTTTTAAAAAGAATGAAATAGAGAAAAAAAACTGATGATCTAGTAAATAGATTATTACATTTATGTATTGGAGAAGAGTGAGGGTTGGCACTTGCCTAAACCACCTAAGATGGCAGAGATGCTGGCGATCTGCTTCCAAGAGACTGTGGGATTGGAATATACGTGAACATTCTGTGTTGCCCGCTGTGTGGTTGGGAGCAACCTTTTTCCATTGGCTCTGCCACACCTGGGTGTTTTCCTGCATTCCCATCTTAGAGTGAAGGACTCCTTCATTCACACCATGTGGTTAAGGGAAAGGGACTTTGGGCCACCTCCTTCTTCCCCACCTGAGACAGGCCCTGACTTTTTTGGCATTTTCCTTCCTCCTTTTCTGTTCTAGGTAAAGGGAGTAATGTCAGACCCAGGTGCTCAAGCCACAGGGATTTGTCAGTCCAAGAGTCCAGGTAGGATATTGCAGCCTGCCCAGTATCAAAACTCTGGGAAGCAAGGGACCTGGGATGCTAGCCCAGCAGGGATTTGGTCTTCAACTTAGTAGCACTAATGCCACTTAGGAACTATCTAAATTGTTACATTAATCCCTTTCCCCTATTCAGAGACCAATTCAGAAGAGGTATGGAGGTGGGGAGGGGAAGGGGATTATGTTCCACAGGTGCTGAGGGAAGTGTTTGTATGTTTGTCCTTTTTGTATCTTTGAAGTAAATATCCCTGCTAGTCTAATGTTGACTGGTTAAAAGGCTCTGGGATACTAGTCGCTGGGCATCTAAAATGGGGCAAACACAAGTAGGGTCAGAGAAAAGAGTTCCTTCTACCGCTGAGGGTAACAGAGAGCCCTGCATCAGTGTAAAATGTAACAAGCCTCAGAGGGGCCAGAGAAACTATGTTACACTTATTTTACTGAGAAAATGGAAGCCATTCTACCTGAGATCCTTCTTCTCCTTTCTCTTTATCCCAAAATCTTCAACTCTCTTCCTTTTCCCCAGTCTCTGATAATGAGATGGCCCTTTTCCTTGTTAAGGCCAACCCCTCTACATATGCCATTGATCTTATCCCCTACAATCTTCTCTAGAAGACTGAAAATTCAATCATCATCAATCTTTCCTAAATCTTCAACCTTTCCCCACTGGCTAGTTTCTTCCTGACTAATTTCAAGCATGTCCAGGTCTACCCTTACTGTCTTTCAATGGGGCCTATCATCCCCTCAAGTTACCATTTTATATCTCTCCTTCCTTTCTTAGTCAAATTCCTTGAAAATGCTTTCTGCGTTCATAACCTCTAACTCTTCTCTTCATATTTATTCCTCTATGCTTTGCAGTCTAGATTTATGACCTCAACATTCAACTGAAATTGCTCTCTTCAAAATTGTCAGTGGTGTCTTAATTGCCAAATATAGTGGTCTTTATTGTTTCGGGCCTCATCCTTCTCAAAGTATGTGCTCTACTTGATACTGGTAATCGCTCTCTCTTCCTGGACACGCTCCACTTTCTAGATTTTCATGACACTACTTTTTCCTGGGTTCTACCTCTTGCCTAACTAACAATGTCTCATCCTCCTTTGTTGATAAATATATTATCCACTAACTGTGGGTATCCCCCAAAACCCTAACCCAAGCTCCCAAATCTTTTTGTCTCTACATTCTTAGTGACCTCATAGGTTTTTAACTACACACACAACATATACACACATATATGTATATATTCATATACATATATATATAGCTTAGTGACTTAATGGGTTTAACTATAGATACATATATAGATATATACACACATACATATATTCATATGTATGTATATATAATATATGCATATATACATTTATATATACTCAGCTCAAGACTCCCCAGTCTTCAATTTCCCACCACAATTTGCCTATTAGACATTTTAAACTAGACATCCCAGAGACATCTCAAACTCAACATGTCAAAAATGGATTGATCTTTTCCCCAAATTCCACCCCTCTTCCAAACTTTCCTTTTTCTTTTGAGGATTATAACCTCAACGTTATCCTTGACTCATTACTCTCCTTCACCTCACGTATCTAATCAGTTGTAAAATCTTGCCATTTCTATCTCCACATCTCTCATACATTACCCTTCAGATCCTCATCACCTCTCACCTAGACTGTTTATTATAACAGCCTCCTAATTGGTCTTCTTCCCTCAAGCCTCTACGCCAGACGTTCCCAAAGTGGGTGATATTGCCTAGTGGTGGGCATTAGAATGATGGGGGGAGGGGGCATGGTAGCCTCAGGTGCAATTGGGAGGCATTGAATAAAAATAAGGGAGCAGTGGAAGCATAAGGAAAGAAGATAAGAGAAGAAAATTTTGAAAAACTGTTCATACATGTTTCCTCTGTTGAGTAACAGAGTTAAAGTTGTAGTGATTACATTATTTTCCAAATAAACAGACAAAATGCAAATTATAACCAATCAGTGATCAAGTCCACCAACAGGTCTTAACAAGTAAGTGTTGGCCGGCCAGCATCTCACAGGTTGTCAGGAAGTCCAGCATGCATCAGCAGGAATATGTGCATGTAATGACTTGTTTACAATACCATACAGTTACATGATGCAATATTGCATCATCAGAATTTCAATACAGGGAAAAAAAAACAAATTTACAATAAATTATTAAATTTAAGATGTGTCTTTTTAAAAAAAAATTTTACATTTTTTTGAAATGATACAAATTTAAAAAAAAAACCTTAAAGGGTTAAAGAAAGTAGATTTCCAGGGGGGCGCTGAATAATTTCTCCTTGAAAAGGAGGCAGTATAGGGTAGCTAGGTGGTGCAGTGGATAGAGTAACAGACCTGGAGTCAGGAGGACACGAGTTCAAATCCAGTCTGGGACCAGACACTTGGTGCTAGCTGTGTGACCCTAGGCAAGTCATTTAACTCCAATTGCCTTGCCAAAAAAAAAAAAAAAAAGAAAAAAGAGAAGAAAAGAAAAGGGGGCAATAGGCCAAATAAGTTTGGGAACCTCTGTTCTAGGCCCATTCCAGATCATCCCATATGCTGCTACCATAGCATTTTCCTTAAGCACACTTGACCATGTTACTCCTATACTCAATCAACTCCACTGTCTCCCTATTTCTTTGTGATAAAAATATAAACTCCTTTGTTTAGCTTGTAAAGCCCTTCACAACCTGGCCCTAACCTGTCTTTCTAACCCCTTTATACATTACTTCTCTTGAATTCTGCAGTCCAGCCCAGCAGGCTTTCTCTTTGTTACTCCTACATACTACTCACTTTCTCAGTCTCAGGGTCTGAAATGCTCAGCATATACCTTTGTTCATCAGAGTCCCTTTGACTGCCAGAGTCCTTTCTCTTAAACCTAACTTGTATTGAACTGCTTCATATTTATTTGTATTGTTGTCTTTCTATTTCTTCAGTATCAATCAGTAAGTCTGGTTGTGCGAGAGCCAGGGCAAATGCACAACAAATGAAATAATGCTTCCTTGCAAGAAGCTTACAATCTAATGGAGGAGATAAGTATACCAGTCAATAGATACAGCACAAATTTTAAATGAACCCATGCAAATACAAAGTAGTTGAATACAATGTAGTAGTTGTTTGGGGGGGGGGGGGATACCAGCAGTTGGGGAGATTAGGAAAAGCTTCACTTATAAGTTTTCATGTATAGACTTCCATATGTCTTTGTTGTCCCCTGTGTTAAAATTGTATCTTGTCCCCCTAACCACCACCACCCCTTCAGTAAATATGATAAGTAAAGTTATAAGTAGCTTGTATAAAGGAGCAATAGCAGGAAATAAGATTGCAAAGGAGAAACTGGAAATCACATCCAAACTATCCCAAATATAAGAGCAATGAATAGAGTTCCAGACCTAGAGTCAGGGAGAC